ACGGGAAGGAACCATACGGTCACCCTTATCTGATCTTCCCCTTCCCTTCAAACGTCACCCCCAAAGGGCCATTCTATCCCGCCCTTCGTTTGTTATTTGGACAGATCGCAATTGCATCAAAATTACTGACAGCGGTCGCGAGTCCTGACTCCCCGATGCACTATCAAAGTCGTAACGCCCAGTCATAAGCGTGACGCTCTACACGCACACTATGAGAGTGAGTGTGTGTGCCTTTGTGTGTGTGTGTGTGTGTGAGTGTTTGTGTCTGTCTCTGCCCACGTGTGTGTGCACAGCGACCGTGTGTGTGGGTGTGTGGGTGTGCGTCAGTGACGTGTGTGCAGTAGGTATATGTGAGTGTGAGTTCGGGTCTGCATATGTTTCGGTGTTACTCTTTAACTCTGGGTGTGTAGGTGGTCTTCTGAGTGTGTGTGGGTGGGTGTGTGTGGGTGTGTGGGTGGGTGTGTGTGTGTGTGGGTGGGTGTGTGTGGGTGGGTGGGTGTGTGTGGGTGTGGGTGGGGGTGTCTGTCCGTCTGTCCGTCTGTCTGTCTGTCCGTCCGTCCGTCTGTCTGTCCGTCCGTCCGTCTGTCTGTCCGTCTGCCTGTCTTCCTTTCACCTACGTCGCTTCCCCCCCCCCGGACACACACCATTTCTCTCGCCCCCTCCCCGCCACTCTCAGGCAACGCGGCGGCACAGCATGATCTGCACTCTCTCAATGCCGAGACGGTGAGCGCCGCTGATGTTTTGAATGGCAATGGCCTCAAATTTGCTCTGTTGTCATCTTTTTACCACACAGCGTGCCATTGCGCAATAACGTGGCACACCAGCCTGACTCACGTTCAACCTCACACTTTCACGTGCTTGTCATCGTGCACAGTTGTGTCTGCGCTGCCTTCCCGATCCGGAAAGCAGAAGCAGAAAGGATCCTCCGGACACAAAAGGAAAACAGAGCAGCAGCAACAGCAGCAATCACGGCAAAGGAAAGGGGAAGGGGAAGAAGAAAGGGAAACACACTGCAAAGGCGAATGAGGAGCACAGCACCAACGGAAGCGGTGGTGGTGGTGGCGATGAAGGAAGTGGAGTTGTTAAGACAGGGACAGATGAGGCAACGTCCACAACAGCGTATGAGACACGCACATGCGCACTGTTTGCGCTGGCGCACCTCTCCTGCAACAGCGAGGCAGCCCAGTGGCTAATTCAACACAAGGTGGGATGGCTGAATGGGGAACACGGCCCACCGCCACTTGGCGATGCATGTAAAATGGGTGTAATTGTGCTATTGCTCGCCTTACTACTTTCACGCACTCACTCATGCACTCACTCATGCACGCACGCACGCCACATTCTTATCCCTTGCTCGTCGCGTGCACACGGCACGTCAGGGGTTTGAGCGGTGTGCAGCCATGGTGGACGAGAAGACCGAGAACGAAACGCGTTTGGACTACGCCTTTCAGACATTGTGCAATCTCATCACACACGCAAGCAAGGACCAGCTTGCCGGCCTGTCACCAGCCGTGCGTGCGCACGTGTGTTCTGCGGCGCGCAACGCACTTTGGAAGACAATTCGCGTGTTGAATTCGGTGGGTGGTGGCAAGGAGAGGAACGCACAGAGGCACCAAGCGAGTGTGTTTGTCTGTCTGTCTGTCTGTGTGTGTGTGTGTGTCTGTCTGTCTGTTTGTGTGTGTGTGTGTGTGACATTGTTGTACATGAACCGTCAAACTTGTGTCGCGTGACATTGCGGCAGTGACAATGTGCTCTGCGCACACGAGTGACTGTTGTTCCTCTTTCTCTCGCTTGCACTCACGACGTCACACCACATCGCTACAATTGGTCATCTGTGGTTGGATTGTATTGCGCCCGCAGGCACGTGTTGTCCTCGCACACCTCAGCCCAAGTACCGTGGAGCGGTGGGCGCAGTGGACAGCAACGCTCGGCACACGGTGGCTCTGACACACGTGCTTGCATGCACATGTTTGCCTGCAAGCAGCGTCATCACCTCTGCTGTTTGTACATAGAGACGTGCCACAATGCTTTCTCCCATGCCTTCGTCATCATTTGGTTCCATGTGTGTATGGTGATTTCAGTAAACCAACCCGCCAGACGCATGCGCGCGTGTGCATGGCAGTTGTACTTGAGTGTTGGTGGGGATGGAGAAGGTGAGAGGAGGGGTGAAACCGAGAGGAAAACACGCACAAACAGTCTCACACGCATACGCACACAAAGCACGCACAAACGTAAGGAAGTAAAACACTGATGGTGGTGTGGAATAAATGAGATGGAGCAGAGCAAGAAGCAAGTGAGCGCAGACAATAAGCGCAGCAACGCTGCAAATGCACTGAGTGGGTATTGGGATGGTTGGTTGAACGGGTGGTACGAAGAAGCAGCGTGCATGAGTTGGCGTAAATGAACCGTGTGAGAGAGTGCAGGGTGTTATCGCGACGATTTGGTTGAGGCGAAAGCTGTGCTTAAGCCTCGTCCTCCTTCTCCTTGAGCAGCTTGATGCCCTTGTACAGCGCGCAGATGATCTCCGCCTCCGTGATGCAGAAGCGCGCGCGTGGCGAGATGTCGCACACACCGCCCTCGCCAATCGGCGTGTGCTCTCCGCCAATCCCGCGCACGCTCAGCCCAAGCGGCTTGCACACCTCCTTCGCCTTGGCATCTGTCCCGTCAGCCGTCAGCTTCGGAAGCCCAATGTGCACGCTCGCGCGCATCCCCGTGCCCAGGTTCGTCGGGCAGCTCGTCACAACGCCGTAGTCTGGCGACATGGCAAACGACAGGCCCTCAATCCCGCTCACAACATCAAGCGCCGTCTTGAGCCGGTCAAACACGTCGTTCAGCACCGTGCCCTTCTTCATGCACATGATGCGCAGGTGGTCCTCCTCGCCAACCCAGATCACAAACCCGCGGTCCTCAGACACGTAGCACCCGCGCCCGTACGGCCAGTCAGACGCAATGCCCGCGCTCGCCAGGTACGGGTCTGCCGCCATGTCCTTGAACATGATGTGGTCCGCCACCAGCTGCTTGTACTCCTCATCGCTGATCTTGTCCGGGTGCCCGGGCGTCAGCGAGTTGTACCCGCCCCCGTACTCGGGCATTGCCTTGAGCTTCTCAAACGCCTCGCACATCTGTGTCCCATGTGTGCCATGTGTGCGCGATGTGTGTAATGTGAGCGTGGTGTGAGTGATGTGTGTGTGATGTGAGCGATGTGTGAGCGAGCGAGGAAGAGAGTGGGGTGGGGGCGAGGTGAAGCAGTGAGGGCTCACGCATCAGAGTATGAACGCACACGCATACACACATGCACATGCACATGAACATACACATGCAAACACAAACACACACACACACACACCTTCTTCTCGAGGCTGACGCGGTCCTCCTGCGTCATGGCGCCTGGCAGTGGGAAGTCAGCAAGGTTGCGTCCAACGCGCACGCGCATGCTCAGGGCTGGCAGCCCAAGTGCCGCAAGGTCGAGCTTGCCGCCCTCAGGAAGGCCCTCAACCCCAGACAGGTCCCAGCTGTTCACGTGCTTGGCATCCTCGGCAACGCCGTGGTAGTCCGCAATCACCTTGCTGAAGAACGGCTTGAACCGGTCGTAGTCCGCGGGCTGCATGGCGTCTGTGTCGCGCCGTTGTGCACACGTGTGTTCGTGTGTATGTGTGTGTGTGTGTGTGTGTGTGTGTGTGAATGTGTGTGTACGTGCATGTGTGTGTGCGAATGCGTGTGTACGTGTGTGTGTGAGCGAGTATGTGAGGGGACGCATGCACACGTGGGCGAGAGAGAAAGAGAGAGAGTGTGTGTGTGTGTGTGTTGAGGCATACGCAACAGCAACCAAGCAACATCACGGCCAACGCAAGCCCAAACACGCAGCAGCAAAACACAACATAGCATGGCTCTGCGCGCGCACGGTGTTGTCGCATCTACTCACAGCAGCCCATGGAGGAGTCTGGGTTCTCCAGACCGCTGCGGCAGCACTGCACAAGCGCCTTCTTCTCGGCATCCCCAAGACCCTGGAAGTACCCGGCATCAAAGTGCTTGGCCATGCGGTTCTCCGGCTGCTCCTTGCGGATCTTCTCAACCGTGCTCACAACACCCTCGTCGCTGCTCAGGTCAGCGCCGCCCTCCGTCGCGTCCTCCTTCTCCTTGGCAGCTGCCGGTTCCGCCGGTGTTGGTTCGGCTGGCTCAGGCGCCGACGCCGGCGCCGCAGAAGCTTGCTCCTCTTGCTTGAGGGGTTGCTCCACCTTGTCCTCCTGCTTAGGGGCCTGGTGGGCCGTCGTGGACTCTCCACTCTGCTTGGCGCATGCGTTTCCCATCTTGCTTGCTTGTTCCTCTTCTGTCACTTGTCGCTTGTGGCTTCGTGGTGTGGCTCTGCTGCTTGGTTCGTGAATGGCTTGTTGTGCAGTGGCAGTGTGCCAGTTGTTGTTTTGGTTTCTTGCTTCGATTCCATCGAATCTTTCTCACAATACAGAATTCTTGTTGTGTTTGGGTTTTTGCGCACTTTTCCTTCCAAAGCAATCAAGTCCTTCATCTCACGTTCACTGACAAGCAAGCAAGCAAGCCGACCTCAACCATCATGGCTATCCCTGTCATTAACGTGGCCCCAGGCCTGTGGTTTTACGGTCAGTGCGTGTCGGTGGCCTTGTGTGCAACACGGTTGGGTGCAACGCTGTTGCTGTTTCCTTCAGCATGTTGTTCTGCCTGCACCTTCACACGGGAGCTTGTTCACTGTCTGCGTTGTTGGCTTTTGTTCTTTTCTTGGTTTTGCAGTGACGGCCGCCATTGTTGACTTCATCACGGGTGCCTTGTGGTACGGTAAGCTGTTTGCTCACCCCTGGGTGCGCGCCATGCGGCGTGACAAGAACAGTGCCCGCTGGCCTGAGGACTCCAACATGTCCATGGCGGCGCCCATGCTCTTCTCCCTCCTGACCTCCTGCGCCCAGGTCAGTTGTGTGTGCATATGTGTGTGCGTGCGTGCGTGT